TCTTATCCTTAGTATTCTTGTTTTCCAAAGCAATAATTTGGTAAACTTTACTATTCTAATGAAGTCATTCCTGTATGTGACATATGCTAAAAAGCAAATATCAGCAAATAAAAGTTAGTTACAAGAAGGCCACAATAGCAAAAATTACTTTTTACTAGAAATACTTTTGGCAAATTGAGAAGAAGGAAACAAGAAATTTGAGCAAAATGTAGGTTTGCACAGAACCTCTGCTATGCCTGAGATATACATTTCTCTGCAGGTCAGAGCCTTTGCTATTACACTTATCTGAGCTCCATTAGATGGACTTTTAATTCATAGTTTTCTTCATTAAAAATTTAATTACTGAACTTAAAAAGCACAATAGAGAAGGGTCTCCTTAATGCAGTCCTAAAGCCTGAAAATATAAGTTTATTCTTAGCTAGAATATTCAAAAAACATATACTGTATAAATATACTAATATACTACATATAACATGTAGTATTTAGACATACAAGTGTGTACACACACACACACACACACGCACGCACGTACATATACATGTCTCAAGCTGGCCAATCACAATGCATTACCTCAGTAAGAACATGGCACATGCTGGCATATGCTAAGGTCATTCTGTTTGTATAACAATTGAAACATAAAGTGATAAAAACTTTATCTTAATATGTTTTTAAATACCCAAGCCATTAATATCAATTTTTACATTTCCTGTTATTCTTAAGATATATAACTTGATGTGACTTTTTTTTTTTTTGGTGAACAGCTGAAGGAAATACTTGAACGATTTCAAACAAAGTTTAACTTTTTAAAAGATCCAGGTAACAAAATCCTTAAAATAAAAATGTTTAATGAAAGCTAGATGACTCACCTGTACCTATTTAGAAGGCATAATTCATACTAATTTCTTCAGACAAGGATTCAAAGGGAGACAGTTTACAACCTGTGAGAGTTTCAGTTCCTATTATATTTTGCAATAGTTGTTTTTTATGTTGCTAATACAATGCAATTTAAATGACCATTTTACTTGATTGACAAAAGCAATTGTAAAAAGCAATTTAATAAAATAATGTAGAAAGATAATACGAATTGATAGTTAAATCACAAATTGTTTTTAAAATAACAACTACTTGGTTGCACATTAAGCTAATTTACAAATGCTACTTATATTCTAAAAACAAAACATCAAATGAGAAACAATAAAGCATATTATGTTTTCGTATGCTGGTGAATCACACATAGTAAATCGCCAAAGACAAGAGTGATTTATGCTCAAATCCTGCCAAGACTTTAGTCAATATAGGGTGTCACATCTCAGGGGGATGGGGGATGTAGTGAGGCAAAAAGAGGGTGGCTAATATTTGTCTCAGTAATTGACATGGAACTTGAGTGAAATTTAATAGAACAATCTGCCCCCAAAAAAAGCAGATTTGGACTAAAAAATGAAGATTTTAAAATTATGTGTCAAATGTGAATACCAGAAATTTTCTGGGGAGAAAAAGCCTTTCGTGTAGTTTAATTTTATATAATATTTGAAGCTTCACAAAATAAAACATCGTATGTGCAAAATCAAATTTCTTACATCAGAACATTAAATGTGGAGTTCAGAAAGTATAGTGTCATCTTAACCATGTTCACTTTTTACAAAAATAACTACAATATCGCACACTAACTCCCAGATAAACAACAGGTTTAAAAGAGATTATCCAAGTAACTCAACAACTTAACATACTGCAATATAATTTGATTGAACAAGGTAAATCCTAGGTTAAAATATTCTTATATTTTATTCATATACTAGTTATTAAAGTGTAGTTTGCTAATACTTATTTTAAAGCATACAGAAATAAGTTGTGGAACCAAACAAACTTTCATATTTAAGCTTTAGTCTTCTAATTATGCCCTATTCTTTTTGAAATGATATAAAATGAGACATTAAGTTTTATTGGAAGCATTAATCTACTGTAATACAAGCAGAGTGTCTCTTCATTTGAAGCAATTCTTTAATTTTTCTGTGCCAACTATTGTAATTATCTGTTAGAAGCGAATCTGTATTTGTGTTAAACTTTCTACATCAATGCAGAAGTCTGTGCTATTGAAAAGCAGACAACAGGACAAACGTTAAATAAATACAGACTGGTTCGGTTTGCCACCTTTATTAAAACTCCTAAACCACCCCCCCAAAAAAAAGAGTCAGGAATTAGAAAATATTTTGTACTTCTTATACTAGAATTTCATTCATATATTACTACTGAAACATAAAAGTCTTTTAATATTTTGTCCATGAGTGGTATTTTAAGACAAAAGAATTCTGTTTGTGAATATATGTATGTGCCTATAAAATATATGATGAGACTAGCTGGAATCTGTTTAAGTTAAAAACCCCTTAAATCTAGGGTTACTTAGAACCTACATCACAATATTGTCGGAAACATCATGAGACAAAATTATCTCCTGACAATAATGGAAGAAATGAGTATTTTAGACGACATAATAAAACAGAGTCACTTTTGTAAAACCCTGAATTCATGGAAAATTGAATCTTAACCCAAATCTACAAAAAAGGAATTGACTCATACAAACAAGAGATTTGACCATGTACATAATTACTTTTCTTTTTTTGTTGTTATTTAACGGTAAGCAATTAATTAACTGACCTCTGTTGCAACAGCCAAGTTCATGCAACTAATGTTTAGTTTTAAAATAATAATTGGAGGAAGCTGATCAAGGACAGACTTTGCCCTCTGACAACTTTTAGATATATTTCCTTACATTGCTTTCATGTTTTGAGACCTTTATTTTTTAGCTTTGCTGTCTTGCAGGTAATAGTCTCTTTTTCATCTCCTTGTGGTAATGACAGATGGCTTCAACATTTATTCTAGTTTTCATAGATAGCATACTAATGCAATAGCCCCAAGCAAATTAAATCCACTCTAAGGTTTGCTACCAACTTACTGAGCCACTTTGAGCAAGTTTATGAATCCTACTTTTCTGTAGCAATATTTCGGTTCCTCAAAATCCCTGGTATTATTATTCCATCCTATTAAGGGATAGATATAGGTTCTGTAAAAAGCTGAGAGTGCTAAAATTTGATGTTTCTCATTTTATATATATTATAATGTGTGCATATATAAATTATATACACACATATATATGTGTATATAATAATTATATATAGTTTGCCTTCTTGCTCAGTTTCTCTTATACTTTACATAAACTATTCCCTTAGCCTGTTAAGTAGCTAGAGGAGAAAGAAACCCAAGTGAAAGAAATCAATACATCTAGATGAATAAAAAAAGATTCTTCATAGCAAAGATATAAACTGGACTTGAATGGAAAAAGTAATCATAGTTTTTCAAATACAAGATGCAAAACATTTCAAAGCTTTCAAAGGTAAGAAATAAGACAATAATGCTTACAATTATCATTAAAAATAGTAATATAAGGTAAACAGTATATTGGGTGAGAGGGAGTTCCATTATAAGTTCTCAATTTCTTCAATCAGTGGCAGAGTTAGGAAAACCAAGGTAGGTATTTGCAACTAAACACATTCTCAAGTTAATGACTACAATATTTGCAAGTTTGAGTAAGCTTTTTAGTTGATATATGATCAAATTCAATATTAAATGAATAAACTTCTCATATTTAACTTAAAAATAACTTAAAATAGGGTTTTAGAGCAACACATGCAATTGCAAATTATTAAGGCCAGGTGATTGAAACATAATTACAGTAAGGATGAAATATTTGTGAAGAGATAAACAGTTCCACTGGATTTAACTCATCTTGGCTCTGCAAGTTTAAACTCCAGATCTGTTGTTAACCTCAGGGGGAAAAAAACTTGAAAAAAATTGTAGTTAATAACTTTAAGAATTGGAGAATTCCAACCATATGGTGAGGACTTCAAATCTAGGCAAAAATTCAGAGAAAAAAATCAAGTTTAATATTGATTATAACATTTATTATAAAGCAGTCATTGAAGGAAGTTTTCTCCAGCAATTGTGTTTATGTGTGTGTATGTGAAATGGCCTTTACCTAGTGTCTAGTGTGCTGTAAGAAACACATTAAGAGGATTCCGAGGAGAGTAGATGTTTGATTACTAAAGAATAAAAATAGGTAGCGATTCACCAATTTACTGGATAGGCAGATAATTTTTTAACAATCATATCTAAACTAGCTTCAAATTTCACCTAGCTTGCTTCATAACTCGGAACAATTTTTCTGCCCTGATTCTAATAGTTTTAACATAGATTTTGGGCAAATATTTATATTCTGCATGACCAAGAACTCCAATTATCTGAATAAGTGGCGTTTAGTGATCGTGGTTCCACAAGCCCCACCACCCCCCATCTTTACTGCCACCTGTCCATACATTTGAGCGCGAGTGCGCGCGCGCCACACACACACACACAGCATTTACCCCAAAATAGTCTAAGGTTCAAAGCCCAAACACACCCATGTCCCATGGAACGAAGGGTACCGAAACACGGAAAAGAATTTCTGGCTAGGTCAGGATAGGACAGTTGCTGGACTGGAATTCGAATCTTTTTCGTTTCACAGTCTTCCCGGGCGCTAAGCTAGAGAAGTCTTTCTCCGCGGAAAAAAGAGCTAGCGCTTTTTCAACCCAATGTCCTTCTGGTCTCCTTGTTACACTTCCTTCGTTCCCACCTCAGTTTCCCTGGCTCTGCGGGGGCACACACCAACTCCGCTCCTTCTCTCAACTTTCAAACTTATTTAGAGGGTATCGAAGTTTCCGCGCAAATTTTGCGCGCAGTTCCCACGTGCCTGCTTCAAGTCTTCAACTTTCCCTATTCTCTTTCTCCTGGCATCTGTCTGAACTTTTGCCTCTGCACTTCCTGGCAGCGAACCGTGGGGACAAAGCGGAGCTGTGAAAGGGGGTGGAATAATCGTCTCGACCCCGAAACTGACAAGTTGCCCCACTCCCGCCCCCTCTCGGTAGATCCTCCCCCACTGAGCGTTCATTAGCATAAAACTGGTCTGGCTGGGGACAGGTCCCGCCGCTGCCTCCGTGCGCGCGCTTTGCTGGGCTGGGGAAGCCAAGGCACAGAGTATCAGGCCCGCTGAGCATCTCAGTGTAAGTGTGCACCTGATCGCTGCGTAAGCTACTAACCTTTAAGAAAAGAAAAGAGAGAGAAAGATAGAAAACACTTTGGAGAGAAAGAGACAGAGAGAGATCGAGAGACAGCGCGCTCCGTCGCTTTCCTTCCCAGTCTCTCCAGTTGAGCTTCCATTGAGTCTCGGGCACTCGGTCACCTCCCCCTACCAAGGAAAACCTGCTGCTGCCCTCGCATCTGCCCCGGGGCCACCGTACCCCTTTATTTCCTTTGCACACTCACTCGCTCACACGCAGACACGCGCACACATGCGCGAACACACAGACCCCTCCCCTCGGCGGGCTTCCCCTCCCGGCTTCGGAGCTCAACTCCCCGGAGCTCAACCCCCCGGGAAGGCCCGGATCTCTCAGCCTCGCGGGTCGTTTCCCTCCCGACCTCACGGTGCCCTCCTCTGCTGCTGGCCTGCTCCCTCGCCTTTCCCAGCGGGCCCCTCACCCGCAGCGCGTCTCCCCGCTCCCCGAGCCCTGCGGGGCAGGTCACGACCTCTCCCCGCCCCCAGGACGCCGCTCGGCGCCACCGACCAGCCCCTTCGGTGCCGTGAGGCTGGCGAGGGAGCCGAGGTCCTGGGGAGCGCACGAAAGCCGGCAGTATCTCTGAGAGGGGTCCCCAGGCACCGGCGCGCCCGGGGCAGGGGGCTGTGGCTGCGGCTGCAGGAAAGGCGCCGTCCTCCTCCCGCTAGTCCCCTACGCCCTGAGGCTCAGAGTTCCCGCGTCCCACTACAGCTCATCCCCGAGACGCAGCGGGCAAGGGGGCGGACCGGGCCGAAGAGCGAGGTCTGGGCAGGGTGAGGTGCCAACTTCTCAGGGGGTAGGGCGCGGCGGGTGAGCCCGGAGCAGGGAGATGAGAGGGCCGCGCTTGCAGGGGCGCGCGGCTCGCGGGCGCGCGGAGCGAGTGGCGCCGGGAAGGGAGCGAGGGTAGGGCGAGCAGGCGGGTGGGAAGGGGCGCGGGCGGCGGAGGCTACCCCTCGCTACTCACCTTGCGTTGGTGCAGTCATTGTAGAGGGTCTCGAAGTCCTTCCTGGAGATGAGTTTGCAGCGGTTCACTCCGGGCTGGATGGCGCCCAGTCCCCTCAGGATGCGAACCTGTTCCACATTGCACACCACCGGCGTGATCTCCAGCCGCTTCAGCTTGGTGTAGACCGTGTGCAAGCCCCCCACCAAGTGCTTCAGGAACAGGTCGAAAGCCTGGGGCAGGCAGATCAGCTCGCAGCCCTCCACGGTGAAGGAAGCCACTTTGGCCCCCCTCAGATCCACCATTTTGCACTCATTATTCTGGGGGGTGTTTTCCACTGGGGACGGGGTTGAGTACACGGGTTTTCCGGGGAGGGGGCCGCAGCTGCTGCTGCTACTGCTGCTGCTGCTACTGCTGCTGCTGCTGCTGCTGCTACTACTGCTGCTGCTACTGCTGCTGCCGGTGCTGGCGTTGATGGGGGTGCTGGAGGCGACGCCGCCGCCAGCGCTGATGCCGCCGCCGCCGCCGCCGCTGCCGTTGCTCGCGGCCGCCAGGCTGGGGTTGCAGTTGCTGCCACCGCCGCCTCCGTTGCCGCCGCCGCCTCCGCTGCCGCCGCCGCCGCCGCCGCCGCCGGTAGAGGTGACTGTGGCCGCCGCCGCCGCCGCCGAAGCGATGGGCTCCGGGCGGAAGAGAGTTGGCCCAGAGGACGCCGGGGGTCCGATGGAAGGAGCCGGAGACGAAGTCGCCGAAGAGGTGGAGGTGGTGGTGCCAGAGGAGGAAGCAGACGTGGAGATTGGGGGTTGAGGGGGGACCAGCTGGGTCGGTGGGATCAAAGCCGCCGGCACTGCCATGGTCACATATAAGGGGAAACAGACGGAGGAGAAGCGAGGGGAAAAGTTGCCACACACCCCGGGAGGGGAAGGGGAAAAAAGGGGGGAGAAGGAGCAAGGGGGGCAACAACAACAACTCCAGGAGAGAACGAGAAGGAGAAAGGGAGAGAAGGGGGAGAAAAGGAGGTGAAGGTGATAAAGAGCGAGCGCAGGAGGGGCGAGCACGAGAGGCGCTCTGGAGAGAAACGCACAAAAGTGTCCCGCAAGTCGAAATGCGAGTCCTCTCCGGGGGCTGGGATCGAGGGCTGGTTTGGGGGGGTGGGGGCGGGGGCGGGGAGGGTCGGCTGTTGTTGTGTGGGTCCCGCTCTAGCACAAAGTTAAGGATGAAGGTGAAAAGGAGGAGGTTTGAAGGACTTGGGCTCTCCCCGGCAAGTACATTGATCAAAGATTGAGAGGGGAATGACAGAGAGAAAATGAGCTGAAAAGTGCAGGCTGCCGGCTGGACGAGTTGTTGTTGTCACACGGTGCAGAGGGGAGGAGCTCCGGAAACTTGAAATACCCTTTGAAGCCGCAAAAACCTCACTCACTAGTATTAACCCAAATTATCCAACCAGGAACTCGGAGCAGAGACTCCGAGAGCGCGAGACACTGGAGAGGGAGCGTGCGAGGAAAGGAGGAGGGGAGGGGGAGGATACGGAAAGAAACTGTGGGAGGGACGGAGAGGAAAAGCCGGGGACTCAGAAGTGGCGATCGGAAAAGGAGAGGGAGATCTTCCACTTCTCTTCTGTACTACCGTTAGATTGCATGTCTCACATTCCGTTTCGTCCGCGGCTACTGGTAATTTTTTCCAAAGCATCTAAACAATCGCCTGCTAACTTAAAGACGAGCCAGAGCGCCCCGAGCTCTCTCCTTCAAGGATTTAGGATCCATCTCCACGCGTTTTGGCAATGAGATAGAAAGGAAAACACAGCCCCCACTTCATGATTATTCAGAAATTATTTTGAGGAAAATTCACATGTAAGCAAAACGTAATGTTCTTTTGCCTCTGATTGTTTGATTTCTCTACTAAATCATTTATTTATATAAAGATAGTGAAAATTCCAGGGCAGTTTTCAAGTGGTGGGAAGAAAGTCAGTCCGAAATCGCTTAAGAATAATGGAAAGCTGTGTATTCAATTCCCTATTTCCTAATAGGCTGTGGAAAGAAATCCTTGCCCTGATGTGCATGATTTAGAATACCTTCACTGTCGCCCCAAAAGCAAGTCAGAAATACCTGTTATACTTAGAGAGATCAAGGAGATAAGGCATACTTGAAGATTTAGAAAGTGAAAAAAGGCTTTTCTTACTAAAACTCTATTAATTAATTCACCTGTCTTACACAGTAACCAACTATCCTCATTGTCCTTTAAGACCCAAAGCCAGTTACTAAGGTGTTTTTTGGACAACACAATAGTTTTTTTTTTTTTTTTTTTTCATGTTTGAAAAGTGCTGCTGTAGTTTTGCAAAGTCCTTTCCAATTTGTCAGTAAATAAATGTTTTGTAAATAATGAGAAGAACAAAAACAGCTCACTAGTTGACTTGTAAAGACTTGGGTAGCTGTGCTTAAAACAACATGAGGCTGAGTTTAGACTGACTCTTCCTCCTTTACTTCCTCTTTCCTTTTCTTCTGTTTTCTAACTTGTTGCATCGAGCTATTTATTCAAGGATTTTTGACTAACATGATTTGAACATAGGTCAAACCTATTTGCTGCTCATATCTCCAAATATCTTCAATTACGTAGGCTTTGAACTGGTCTACACATGTTCAGTAAGTTGTTAAGATGTGAAGCAATGCTTTAGCATTTGACGGATTTTTAAAATAAACTATTAGTAGCAGGTTCAGAATGTTGGGAAATTTTAAAATAAAATTTTCGCCATTCTGGTGTTGAAATGATCACACTTCTCTTTACCATTTTAATCTTTTGAACTCTGAATTGTAGTGTCGAAAAGTGCAGGAACTGTCTACCAAGAAATAGAAATATGACACTATGGACTAATTAGTGTACGATTATGCTAAACTTTCTGGGACATAGCAGTTAAATCAGGAGGCTTTCCTGGGAGATAAAACTTCAGAAAGTTGATTGTTGCAGAAAAGTCCATAAACTTCTTCAAGGACTGCTGAAGCTTACACAATTGTTTGGCCTGCTTAATCAATGTATTTTAATATATTCAGAAATAATTTTTATAAATGTTTTAGCCTTCAAATTTGTTATCAGGTAAAAGTAGGAATTCAATATATACCACGTACACCAAAACACTTCTGTAAGTTGTTTGCTTGTTTTAAAATATATTACTTTATTAAGACATGCCAAATTAATATGTTAATGAGGGGAAGGGAAAAAGAAAGTATTAAGCCCTGAAAAGCTCATTTTATTTTGGAATTTCATGCCTGACTTTAATAAATTTCGATATGGTTTTAAAAGACTAAATGATAGTTTCACTATGGAAAAATGGGCATCTGCCATTACCATTCTCATTTTTTACATTTCCTTAAACTATCACTCACCCAATACCTGTCACATTCAGAAGCCACAGACAGGAGGTAATGATAGCAGACCAAGCCATAATCCCATCTTGCTTCGAAGCAAACTCCAAATTTTCTACTACAAGGAAACCCTTGCCTCCGAGCACGTGCTCCACTCAGATACAGGGCTTAGAGACATTTGTCCCTACCTGAATGAGAGTTCTCCAGCCTTCCTTCCCCTGACCTCAGGTCTCAAAATCAGTTCAAGGAACCACCACTTACTCCTTTGATCAAACAATAGGATTAGAAAAGGCATATAGCACAAATTAAAATACGTAGGGAAAAAAAAGCCTTTAAAAATTCGAAGGTTTTTATCTTTTTTTCTTTCTTTCTTTCTTCCTTTTTTTTTTTTTTGAGTTATTTTTCCTTTTTGTTATTCAAACAGTTATTTAACAATAGCAGATAAATCAACTTAGAGATTCCCAATTCTCACTCCATTGCATTTTTAGCTTTCAGAGCTTTTGTCTTGCTTATTTATTGTTTTACATCTTCGCTTGTTTCAGGTCCCCTCTCTCCATCTCATCTTCCCCAACCTTCACTCAATTTGCATAAGCAAAACTCAAAGTACTGTAACTGATATTAGAAAATTCTCCCTGTGTTTTGTGAAGACGTATTGT